GCCACCATCTCTTTCCCCATATTTTTGATTGAAAAGACAGCTTCTACTCTAATGAAAGCATTTTCAAAAATACACTATTGCCCACATGGCAAAAATAAACTAGTACTCCTTTGTTCTTTTTCTACAACAATGTCCAACTCAGGAGCCACTTCAATTTGTATTCCTCTCTTACCTAGCCAGAAAAATAATTGTTTTCTCATTTATATTCATAGTACTTTATAATTCTGGACTTGTATTATATCATTTGCCACAGTATAATTATTTGTTAATGTGTTATTTTTCAACAGTTTTTGAATACTCCAGAAAGGTATTTTAAAAACTTCTTTTCTAAAGAAATCCCAGCACCCCAAGTGTCCATCGATAAATGAATAGAAAAAGAAGAGGTGGTATATAAATACAATGGAATATTACTCAGCCATATAAAGAATGAAATCTTGCCATGTGCAACGACATGGGTGGAGCTAGAAAGTATTGTGCTAAGGGAAATAAGTCAGAGAAAGACAAATACCATATGATTTCACTCATATGTGGAATTTAAGAAATAAATGAGCAGAGGAAAAAGAGAAAGAGAGAGGGAGACAAACCAAGAAACAGACTCTTAACTACAGAGAACAAACTGATGGTTACTAGAAGGGGAGGTCGATGGGAGATGGGTGAAATAGTGAAGGGGATTAAGAGAACACTTATTGTGATGAGCACTGAGTAACATATAGAATTGTTGAATCACTACATTGTATACCTGAAACCAATATAACACTGTATGTTGATTATACTGAAATTAAAAAAAAAGAAAAAAGAAATCCCCAGCAGCTGTAGTTGCTCAAGAATGTTTTCTGAGATATTATTGAAATGTAGCATAATTTTCTTACATTATGCCTTTTGACAAATAGGTCACAATAATTTACACACACACACACACACACACACACATATATATATATATAGTAAATTTGGAATTACCAAATAGCTACCATTCTTGGTTAAACTCCTCTTGCAATCTCACTGTGGAAAAGCAAAGGTTTATTTTAACCTCTTGTATCATCTATTCTTACTATATAAATTGTCAACATGATTCATTTTTCATTGGTTGTTTGATCACCTCAATGGATTTTTTCATTTAATAGTTTTTCATTTAATAGCTAATGGTACTTTATTTTTGTGGAAGTATTCAACAAGATGCATAATTCATTTTTCCTTGGTTTCAAAAAAAATATTTCCCTATTAAAATTCTTAAACAAAGAATTTTGTATATCCAAAAGCCTGGTTAGCAGTTAATATTCTGGTTTTGCTCGTCTTTCAGTTAATGTAAAAGCAATTATGACATTCTTTGAAACTGGATTTTTTAGGTATAAACATTAATTACATTTCTATCTTCTCAAATTTCATATTCATAAGCTAAGCTATCTAAATAACAATATGTAGCACAAAAAGTGGATATAATTTTAAGATGCCAAAAGCTCCTACTTACCATCAAATTTTTCATCAAAATAACATTTATCAACACTTGCTCTTTGCCAGGTGTTTCACTGTTTCTGTTTCCCAAACTGAACTCATATATCATGTCTGTTTTCATGCTCTCCATTACTCTTTGTTTCAGTTAAACTTGATATTCAACTATTTATTGGAGAACTACTACTGTAGATATGAAGATGTACAAAATGATCTATGCTTTCCAATATTTTACGTGTGGAAATGATTATTATACTATTTAATTCAAACAATAAACATATTTCTCTTCTGTCTACAGGGTTCAGAGAAGAAAAAATGATCTGTCAGAAGCATCTACTAAATGTTAACTCTGTTCTCCAGATAGATGTGTTAGCTTACAGAGGGATGACCATGGTCTTTTAAAGAGTTCTACAACAACACAAGTCAGGGTAGTTTTAGACATCAAGTAATCTTTCATGAATGAAGATCTGATCATGGTGGATTTCTGATAAAAATTCAGCAATGGCTTTCTTTTTCCATTAACAAACCCCCTGGCTTGCACAAGAAGCCCTTAACCATCTAGCTTATATTAGCTTACCAGCCCTGTTTCTGATAGTTTCTTGCACTATGCCACCCTTCTAAATATGAACACTTTTGGTCTTATAAAACTCTTTACACAAAGACTATACCCTCATAATTTTATCTGTTTCCTGTGCCAAGAATTGCCTTTCTGATTTTGTCTACCTTTGCTTTCCAAGCCAACCAACTGGTCACTCAGGACAGTTTGGGAACTCTAGCCTCTGTACTCCTATTGCATCTGATGTCAGTATAATTTCTTTCCGGTCTTAACTTCTTAAGGACCAAACATTTATTCATCTCTGTATTTCTACTAACTAGTATGTGTTATAAAGATTCAAGAAATGATTGTTAAGTAGATAGACAAATGTATCTGATATCAGTGTGTCAAAATGTTTACATATATATTTGATATTATATAGATTACATATACAATATTTTGATTTCAGAAAATACCTGAATATTAGACTGAATTTTTTAAAATTTCCTTGGATACGGGATGTGCTATGGCAATAGTATTTTCAGTACTTCCTCCTTCCGTCCATGTTTAATGTTTTCTCTATTCATTTGTATTCCTGTCACTAGGAAGGTAAGATTAAAGATTTGCTTTTATTTTTTGCCATTTTCTCCGTATGATTTTCTATCCATGTTACCATGCTATGTCAGCTCTATGATTAGTGTTTCATTACCAATGTCCCTTGAAAGTAATTGTTATCATTGGCCCCAAAGGTACACATTGGAATTAGGCCATATCAACAGATTCTAGAACATAGACAGCTTTAGAATTAGGCTCTGCCAACTTATCTTTAACAAATGGAAAATTAATTGAGAGTAAAGGGAAAAAAAATAGTGTTCTCATCTATGACCTACAGGAGATACAGGGAATCTAAATGTTAATTCTGCCTTTGTGTTAACAAGAAAACTTCTATTTCCTTTGATTGTATCTCTCTTGCACAAAAAGCAATTTTTTTTTCTTGATTTACACCAACTTTAAAGTGTGTTTGCCTCTGGTAGCTTGTAAATTAAAGGGCTTTTATTGTATTCTGGCATCATCACTTACTCAATGTGTCTCTTGTTTGAACATTTAAATTTTAGTAAGACTTAATATATTCTGTTACATTCAGTGTAGTGGTTTTGCCATAACACCAGTTGAGAAAAGTTATAAAATGCCTGACCATATAGTCCCTTGATGCACAACATTTAATACAAAACTCAAAGTAAACATTTCAAAAGTATTTTTGGAATCATTATCAAATGTTGATGCTACATAATAAAGACTATATGACAACTCTCCAAATGTTAAGCATTCTTAAATTGAGGAGCATTTTCAAAATAACAGGGAAAAACAGGGTTGTAGAAAGAAAACCTACTTAGACATAAGACTTCACTTGTGTCAACTCAAATCAGGTGTGACCACTTTTAGCTGAAGATGTCATGTCTTTAAGCCTCAAAGTCTTAGGGAAAAGATTATTGTAGGAATAATAATGTGAGTATGAAAAAATTTTGGTTGTGACAGAGAATTTATTCCTTAACATTCTATTTGTACCAGATTATAGGTTGTATCATTGCTTCCTAGTTACTCAAATATCTCCTGCAATTTTAACTGGTAAGTGAGTTTTCTTCTTTAGTGCTTAGACTATGTTAAATACTAATATGTTATACATAGGAATCATATCATCAAAAAGTAATTCACCTTAAATTGTAACAACAGAATCACACAGAATTTTCTCAACTTTGATTATATCCAGAGATCTCCAAGATGTTTACAGTCCTGCACATTTTTTGTCAGCTTTTTTAGGTTATAATTTATATACAATAAAATCTAGTAATTGTAAGTGTACAGTTACAGGAATTTTGACAAATATATAGTCATGTAGCCACCATCACAATCATGTTACAGAACAATTTTATCACACTAAAAAGCTCCTTAATGTGCATTTGCCATAAATTTTCTCATTGCCACTCCAGCCCTTATAACCACTAAACTACATTATAGTTTTGCCTTCTCTAGAATTTCATATGAACAGAATTTAAAATATACAAAACAAAATCTTTTGTGTTTGGTTTCTTTTACTTGGCATATTGCTTTTCAGATTTATCCAAATTATTGCATGTTTCAATAGTTTGTTCTTTTTATGGCTAAGTAGTATTTCATTATTTGTCCATGCATTCACTAGCCAGTAGGAATTTGGACTTGTTTCCATTCTACAGCTCTCCTGAGAAAGCTGATATCAACATCCAAGTAAAAGTATTGGTTTGTACATATGCTTCCATTTCTCTTGGATAGACACTCAGGGTTGGATTGCCAACCCATACAGTACGTGTATGTTTAATTTTATAAAATACAGCTAAATTGTTTCCAAAGTGGCTGTACCATTTTGTATTTTTACTAGAATATATGAACATTCCAATTGCTCCATATCTTTACCAATACTCCCCAAATTAATCTATGGTTCCAGTATAATTTAATCAAAATCTGAGCAGACTTTTTTTGAAGAACTGACAAGCTGGAATTTGGAGTCCCTGTACCCACATGTCCAACAACAGATAAGTGTATAAAAAACTGTGGTATATAATCAGACAATGAAATATTACTCAACAATAAAATAAGAATGAACTTTTGTTATAATTAAAACATCACTGATCATTCCCAAAAGATTATTCTGTATACAAGAAGTCAGACAAAAGAGGGTTAGTCTACTCTAGAAATACACTTACATAAAATTCTAGAAAAAAGATACTGAGTTATAGTGAAAGAAAGCAAATCAGTGATTGCCTGGGAGTGATGCCGGGAAGGGACAGGAAAGAGGGATTTCCAATGATTATAAGAAATTTGGGGAATTAATAGATATATTCATTATCCTGATTGTGTTGAGGTCCAAATTTATCAAATAGTACTCTTGAAATATGTGCAATTTGTTGTATGTCAATTATACATCAATAATATATGAAAATAATTTTTTGTTAATGATTTTAGATAAGTTGTCTTAACCCTTAGTAACATGAGAGAATATAATGCAATAAATGCCCTACTAAAACCTCACTTTTAAACTCTATAAAGATTCTGAAATTTCCTCCTAGGGATTTTGGTTTTGGAGGGTTTTTTTTTGTTTTTTTGTTTTTTGTTTTTGGTTATTTTTTTGGCCTTTTCTGCTTTGTTTTATTTATTTTTATTTTTTATGGTTTGTTTTAAAGAATGGGACACAGGTGGTTAGATTAAATGTCTCCTTTGTGTTATTTACTTGAAATTTTATAATTGGAATTAACCATTTGGGTTGGCAAGGATTTTTCATGACTTTGAACTCCCATTGGTATGCGAACATGAGTTTAAACCCAATTGACTAAACACTTAAAACAAATGCACTGGTTATTTGACATGATCTGCTCACTTACTTGATTTTGTACTTGGATAGAAGTCTTCCAAAGAACAAATCCGAGTCTTCATGGGCATCTAAAATTGGTGAGAACAAGAAGACAGAAACATTACCTCTCTCACCAGACAGTAGACTATCCATTTGGCATCTTGCCTGGAAAGTTGCAAACTCAATTAAATGAACATATGGCCCAGAGCAGTAAGCATTCATCTTTGCCAAGACTTATTTCTCTATGGCATTTCCAAACCATGGCTATGCTATAAACCCTTTCCATGTAATTAATTGTATTTTTTTTTTGCTTAATAATTTCACATTGTACAATGCTGCCATAAAAGTAATCATGGAAAAAATAGAATATTAGTACAAATTCCACAAGTGTGCTTTTCCTACTGAGGTACATTTTATTTAGGAAATCAGGTTTGGAGATATCTAGCCTTAATGAGAGGTAATGGTAGAATTAATAAATCTCCCAATATTCCCTGAAGCAGCTGTTCTCCTTTGAAATAATGAGCATATGGTTTCATCATATTTTATTGATTTGATCCCTTCAGCTAAAGAAATATTTCAGTGGAATGCCAACAACTTTCACAATTTCTGCATATTTCTCTATTTTCTTGGCTAAACAGAAAGCTGATGAGCATACAAATGAAAAACCAAAGGCAGTATTTAGATTTCTTAACCAAAGATGAAACAAAAGATAAGATGGGACCCATGAAAGGTCTTTATTTCTGAGATGCCTACCTAAATATTTACTAGATTTTAAAAACAAAGCAGGATGGACTAAAATAAGTTAACGGTAAAAAGAGACCCCACAACTTATATAAATGTAGGAGTTGTCAGGGTTTGAGCCAATGACATATATACACCAGGAAGGCAGAACATGACCACAACTTTCTAGCAAAGTGTGACCAGGTTCGATTCAAATAAGTAGTATCAAAATTATATAAAGAACTCATGGAAGGCTGCACAGAGGTTCAGTTAGGTTGTGACGAGTAGGAGTCTATTAGAAAGCATATACAAGCCCAGAAAAAAAGGAAAGAGGTTACATATAGGACATAAAAAGAAAATATTCTAATCAGCCCAAGTTTGGGTGGGAAGCAACAGAGTGAGTGGAAAAAGAATTAGGTCAACATCAGTGACAACAGACAGGGAATTTCCAAAGGAGATGAACTAAACTATTTGAGAATTACTGAAAAAAAAATGTGTATTTTAACTAGTTTCACCCCGCACTGTATCAATAGTCCCTTTGTAGAAGAGCTTCTCCTCCTGGAATTATATAATTTTATGGAACGAAGTTATTCTTTCAGTTAGAATTTCTCTCATTTTGGATGGTGGAGTATGCTACTTCAAAATGAACTCTGGTTGGTGTGCTCTAACAATTGCATGTTGATTTAAAATGTGTATTATTGGGCCCCAGCTCTCAGGAGGATAGATTCAGTAGATAGGAGGTTGAGCTAAAATCTGCATTTAATGAGCTCTCCAAAAAGGTCTGGATTGAGAATTTTTCCCTTCTGGTTTCCTGCAGCATGTGGCTTTTGAGGCTCTGAGTTCTGCAGGAGGCCATTTATGACTCTGATCTTGATTAATTACCAAAAATAGAGCTATTTCTATGCACATTATACCTGAAGAAGCAAATGGTTCAGCCTAATTTATTTGTTATTTTATGAGATATGATAATAAAGGAAAATAGTAGGAAAATATTTTAATATAGGGCTAAAAGAGGGAACTGTTAAATTAATTGCATTCCTTTAGCCATAATCTTTTGTTAGTCATAGTTGATCAGGTGTTTTTGATGCAAAACTTCTCTAGGTTTTCCTTTGGCATGCCAAAGTATCTGGTGAATCTCTAAGAGGAAAGATTACAGTCCAGCATTTCTGAAACAATTTGACCACAGGAGTCTCTTTAGGAAGAGGAGTACTGATTTCTTTGAGGTCATTTGTTCCCCAGCTCTTTGAGGAAAACACATGTAGACTTTAAAAATTATAGACTACCATTTAGTGAGTGACTATTATAATCCAAATCCATGTTAATCACATTTCTGTATTATTTATTATAAAATATTACCTAAAATAATACATATACTATTTATAATATAATATATTAGATAACTTATTAGGTGATGAATATCTAATGCAATTCTCATAAAATGCCTTACAAGGTGAGGGCAAAGCAACTCATGGAAAATGGACAAGACTTAGGATCATTTATGATGATTTTATTTAGTTATTATTTTTAGTTTTAGTTTTTTTCCATTATTTGTTACTTAAATAGGTGTGACTATCCCATCTTAATATTATATCATTGTCCCATATTCTTTTTTGTTTTTTCTTTTAAGTAGGCTCTAGGCCCAGCATGGAGCCCAATGTGGGGCTTGAACTCATGACCCTGAGATCAAGACCTGAGCTGAGAGCACTTAACCAAATGAGCACTTAACCAGGTGTCCCATCCCATATTCTCTTTAAAAATGATAAAATAGTGATAAAAAATGTTTATCAAATAGTTTGTTCTGCTATTATCCAATGAGGATTCCCACAATACCGTATGTGCTTAATTCATTTGTTGTCTCTGTACCTCACAAAATTAACTGATTATTAATAATATAAGATAAATCAATTATGAGACTGGTCAGAAAAAAAGACATTGGGCAATGAGCTATAACAGATGTAACAAACAATCTTTCTGTTTTTCCATGTTACAGTGAAAAGGGGCCATTTACATCATGTATATGAGGGGCATGAATAATTACTCTAAATGAAAGATGTGGCCAAGGCTTAGTAAAATTTCCCTATAATATAAAATGTCACCTTATATTTGCACAGGTTGTTTAAACAGGTCATATTTTCCTTCCACAGTTCATGGAAGAGTTCTGTTTTCTATTAAGTTAAAAAAAGTCTTTGATTATACCCTATGGTTGTGTGGCATTAACACATCATCCAGATCATGACCCAGATGTTCTGATCTTAAACACTTTAGATCAAGAGCTTTTCTTGCCACTGCAATTGTGAATAGCTACTGCTTTCACTGGCTTTTTCAGTTTCCATGAGGTCAATGTTATTTTCCCCGTTTTTCAAGTGAGGAGACTGGCAGAAAGAAACTTGCTCAAGTGTCACAATCAAAGCAAGTCTCTTGCAAAATTAAACTTTGAACCTAAAGCATCTGAAATACTGGCTTACCAATGACTGAATAAAGCGAAATGCGTTTCTTATGCTCTAAAAATCCTTGCTCCTTTTTAAAACAAAATATTGTAAATAAGGATCCACACTATTTAAAAAAAAAAACAAACTTAGCCCATATTTATGAGTCTACAGATGGCACTAGAAATTACAATAAATGACTAAGTATCTAAATATAGATAATTTGGGGTCATAAATCAGTTTTTCAGAATATTATGAAATGCTAATAATTCTTATTCTATTCTATTATATACATAACTATCATTTTTCTCATATGGGCTCCAAATTTTACTTCTTTAACAATTAGGAAGACATACATTCATACCACATATGACCTAGGTAGGAAAAAAAGGAAAAATATCAAACCAAAGTATAGCATTTATGTATGCTGTCTATACTAATTTGTAATTGGGTTTCTTCACTTAACATTAAACCAAATGGATCTCATTATGAAAGGTAAGTCTTTTTTTTTTTTTTTAAGATTTTATTTATTTGACAGAGAGAGCACAAGCAGAGGGAGAGAGAGGGAGAAGCAGGTTTCCCGCTGAGCAAGGAGCCCGATGTGGGACTCGATCCCAGGACCCTGGGATCATGACCTGGGCTGAAGGCAGCCGCTTAACCAACTGAGCCACCCAGGTGTCCATGAAAGGTAAGTCTTAAAATATCTTAGGTTTTCAGGACTCATAATCACCAAGAAAATCAAGACTTATTTACTTAAATCTTTCCATAATAATGTGTATAACACAGGTTTTGTTAGATTTTAGTGAAGCAGTTCAAGGTGATGATTTCTCTCAGTGATATCTGAATGGCAATAAAACAGATAAAGGCATCACTTGTGCTTTGAATGTGACTTTACATTATTATATATATATATTAGATATATATGTAGACAAATACATATATACATATATATTGTGACATTCTGATACAAATATTATACTTAACCAAGATATTTAATTTCTACAATTATTCTGAATATGTGAATAAAGGATATCTTGTTTCATTTAATAAAAATCATAATTCTGAAATCATTCATCTTACTTTTTCTTCATAAACTGATTCTTCATAAATTGTCCATGTCATAAATTGATACACTGTTTTTCTTCATAAATTGGTGACTTAAATGTGCCCATGAATGGTATGTTCAACCCAATGGCCTCAAACCATTCACCTCCAATGTTTGTCTTTTCCTCTATTTCAGCAACTCTTACCATCACACTTTGGCTCTTGTCAACATGTATAACAACTAGACATTTCACTCTAAATACCAAGTACTCTCTTTTCAACTTGCTTTTTTATTTTTTCTTCAACAAAAACACCACCTATTTTGGTGGTCCCTTTGCTCCTTTCCTACTTAGATTTCATGGTACATCATTTCAGTAACCCTCTTGCAAAACTAAACGCATTTGCCTTAATTTTTAATTGGACAAATCTACCCAAACCCCTGCCCTGAATGAACCTAACCATCTGTTTGCTCTGAGCCTACACTGATTATTCCAAAACCACTGGAAAATTTCTCATTAGACAATATATTAATTCCACTGTGAATTGAGAGGTAACAATTTCAAATGAGCCCTCAACACTGCCACATCTCTCTGATTCTCTGATAACTCACTTTTAGATTCCCCACAATTATCTCGAAACTTCTCTACTACTTTTTCAAACATTGGACTAACCTTATCCTGTTTATTCTAAGTGACCTTGACTTCTATTTTAAAGAAATTAAAACCATCAAATGGAAACTTCCTAATTTTCTTTATATAAAACATTCCAACCTACCCCCATCTGTACATATGCTTTTTTCACTATGCTATTAAGTAGAGGACCTGCCTCTCCTCTTCCCTAAGGCTGATGCTTCCACCTCTGTTTTGGACTCTATCCTCTCTCATCTTTAAAAACTGTAA